GTATTCATGCTCCCCGTGAGTCAGGAGACAAAGTAAGGAACAGGCCTGAGGAGGTAATGAGGGGCCAACATCCAAAGTAATTACTGTAGGAGAAGAATTTTCAGGAAGAAACTGGAAGGCCAATACACACATTTGGAAAACTTAAAGCCTAAAATGTGCCAATGAAGTTAACTAATAGAAAAAAAGCACACTTTGCGCAGTCCATGGCCAATAAAAATGTAGTTAGAGACCTGAGAGACATCAGCTAGAGGGGGCTGGAGCATAGCCTACCGCACCCCAGAGTTCCTGCTCCTCCACCTGTCACTCCCCAGGACTCCTCCTGAGCCTGACTCCTCTCATCATTAAAACACCACAGAAAGTCAGCACTGAGCATAGGTTAGACCAACTCAGACTGCTCTGACAGAAGCTTTTGTTTCAACTTTAATCTAGGCTGCATGTAACTGGCAGAAAAAATAAGGATTTCCCCTACTTGCTTTTAGCATTCTTGTTCTGTCCCTGCCAAGCAAGGGCTAATGGTACGATAGCGCCGGCTCCGGGACGAAGTGCTCTAGGGACACGGTGCGAGTTCACACATGTATCAGCTGACAGCTGTGCTCCACAACCCCCAATGCTCCCCTCACGCCTGTGACTCACTCTTGGAAGCAGCACAGCAGCTCAGTTATGGTAAAGAGGAAGCCAATAACTGTCAAATCTCAGCCCTAATGCTGGCAGTGACCTCAAAGTACTCACATAGAGCAGGGCTGCATCTCAGACCCTCCATGAGCCTTAGTGTCTGACACAGCCCGCGTGAAGAAGAAATGAATGTGTTTGAGTGACATGAAATGAACATCACATCATGTGCAGTTATTACTCGAGTTAACTGACATAAATTAATCTAGATTTAGAATTTGACTCTCTCCCCAAAATTATGTATTTATAATAAGCTATTTATAAAGGATAGCTCAATGATAAAGTATTATTTTCTCTAACTCGATACATTTCACATTTTTTTAAAATCTTAAGCTTATTTTTTAACTGATACCTTAAAAATGTACATATTTACAGGGCACCAAGTGAAGTTTTGACACATATAAGCATTTAAATTGGATAATTCTTAATGAAAGTTGCAAAAGAAAAATGAGAAGCTGTGGAGCGTGGCTAATTTTCTGTCCATGACAGGGACACTCTGGGAACTTCAGTCCAGAAGCACCTGGGTGGACTGTCCATTTCATCTGTGTAATCACTAGGAAAAAATGAACAAATTTACCTCTTCTGTTTTATAAGGAGTATCTACCAAAAACTCAGCTTCTTCCTTTCACTGAGAATTTTGGCTGTGTTTCTCTATGCGCTGTGCATGACAGACAGAATTTCTCCAGAGACTTTTGTCTTAGTCCTTACCTTGCTATGGGACTCTCGGTGCTTCACACATTTATGATAGGACCATAATTTGTATGCCTTGCTGCTAGGTGGCTTGATCCATCTAGTGGCACGTGTGTGACTGTCCCTTCAGGCAGCCTGTACCACTGGTGGTAGAACTGGCAGTCATGCATGTGCCCACGAATGCTCCAAACTGCCTGATGGGACATTCATGCAGGCACCATCAGCGGTACAACCTGGCAGAATGTGTTAACATTCTTGGCTCCTTTCCCTGAACTAGTAAAGACATTTACTCAAATGACAGAAGGAAAACATATTCTTTCCCATCTCTGTATCAAACAAGGCTTCCTTTATTCCTAGGAGCTGATTAATACGGATGACTTACCACTATTCACTGTGGGTATTCTCAAAGGCATTATAATTGTCTTCATTCTAGGACATGCTCCTAAAGGTCTTTTTATAATCTGAAATACCTTACTTGCCCATATCACTTTCTAAAATTTCCTTAAAATCAAGACTGTCACCACCTGAGTTCCACCACAGGGATCTATCTAAGGTAATGGTTACCACTATTTAAAGCCACCGCATAAAGCATCCTAAGTCTTCAGGAAGGGTACAGTCTCATCTTGCTTTGGTGGTACTGGGGATTAAACCCAGCGCCTCACGCAAGGTAAGCACTCTGTACAAGGTACACTCAGCCCTAAAAGTGTACTTCTTAAACACCTGAATTCTAGAAGCCAGAATGAACATTTGGTTTCTAGACTGTGTCCTACATGGATGTGATATCATCTCATTTGCATTTATAACAGAACAAAAGAAACCAAAGTACAAGTTTTGTGTAAAACACACAAGACACGTGTGTCTAACTGGACTTTATCTATTCAGGCCTCACTAGATGCACTAACAATTCCACATTGTCATATGCTCTCACTGAAAGTTTCAGCACTACTAAAAAGGCAGTAAAGAGAAGTTTATGCATATGTGGAAATAAAAGAGTGGGTAGAGAGAAAGACTTATCTCACTACCTGGGAACAAACCTGCTGAGGTTTCCTACCCACTTGGATTCTCATCTGGGCATGTGGACAGAAAGGTGACACAGGCAGTATCCTTGGCCAAGGGAAGCTGCAAAGCGCTTACCTAGCTGCTACTGTGTGTTCCAGGGCTTTCCCAAGGCTCCTTCACATTCAAAGTGAGTCAGCATATCCTACACTCATTTTCCGCACTTGACACTGAAAATGCTGAATGTAAATTATCTACTAACTTAGATTGTAATGAATAATAAGAAGTACTAATGTCTTATTTCAATATGATTATGACTTGTCAGAAGATCAAAGTATTTTCTTTGGTAACTGTTTTACAGGAGCTGCTTCTAAATGCCAACAAGAATATCCACTGCACTATTCAGATTCTAACTTTTTTAATACTCTACAGTCCAAATAAATGCAGTGGTATACTCTTGTACTGAATGGCATTTCAAGAAAAACAAGATGTGGAGAAAATTCCCTTGGAGTAGTTTATCAAAGGAACTTGTTGGTGGGTGGCCCATCAACAAATTAAGCTAATACTGCATTTAATTTTCTCAGGAAAAAATATTCAAACTAAACCCATTTGTTATAATTACTGACCTATTGGGGCTGGGGCTTTAGCTCAATGGCATAAGCGCCTGCCTTGCAAGCAGGCAGTCGTGGGTTCGATCCCCGGTACCGATAAAAAGGAAAAAGACCAAAAAAAAAAAAAAAATTACTGACCTATACTTTAGTACAAACTTCAGAGCAATTTTTAGAAGCCTGATAAAATCATAGAAGAGTTGCAATTCACCAAACATTGAATTCTGAAGAATGTTTTCAGAATGTACATTTCTCTTCTCTGCCAGGCTCTGAGATATCTACTGGCCCTGTTACAGGAACTAATCAAGAGTTGGTTTTCATTCATTTAGGACATGTTTATTAAGAACCCACTCTATACAAGGCACTGGGCCAGCAGGGTACTGCCCTAAAAAGAGACACGGTCCCTGCCTTTCAGGAGCTCACAGGCTAATAGATGAGAGAGATACCAAACACATGCAAGAGTATCGAATCACACCAGCAATTCTGAGGAAGAAGCTAAGGCATTTGACAAAAGCCCTCAGCTTTCCTAACCAAATGCAAGCTCAGGACCAATTTTTAACTGAAAAATAACTAAACAAGACAATCCCATTTCATGCTCTCCATGTAGGCTCTAGCTGAAATGCCTGAGGTGGATACAGTCACCCACAACAGCATATGACTCCTCCCATTTATTATGTGGACTGCTGCTGTTTTCAAATCAAAACCTTGCATTTGGACATTTGCATCTTGACCACTACTTACTTTTCATCAATCTACACAAGATGTTTTACTGAATCAATCAGATATTCATGAACTGTGGCTTCACAAAAAAGATATGATTTGCATTGTATCCCATTAACTTGAACTAATTTTCTAAAGACTTGAAAATTTACATATTATTTTCTATACATTTCAAGATAAGTTTTATGAAATATAGTGAGGGCCACCACATACTGAACGTCTGCTCTGAACTGATCATTTGTCATCTCCCCCAAACAGCCCAGCAAGGCACTACTGGCCCTATTTTACCACAGGGAAGCTGAGTGCCCAAAGCCTAAGTAAGGAACTTTCCCAGCACAACACAGCTAGTTAGCATAAAGAAGGCACAAAACTTCTGATTACCTGACAAGTTAATGCATTCTCTCCCAAATCCTAAATTGGGCACAACTTTCTCACAGTCAGGGCCATGTGCAGTACAGTTACTCACTGTGCATGGTTAAATGTAGTCACAGCTTTTCGGCAACCAAAATCCAGTGAAATATCCAGGGAACAGTACAACATCAGACTAGTAAAATCAAATGTGAAATGAGCATGGGTACATGGGAAGCACAAGGAGGTGTGTGACCATGTAGTCTATCGGGTAAACTGTATCAGACAGCACAGGCCATGCCTGGCTGCCTGCAACTTGCCCCAAAATGGGAAAAGGGGTTGCTCTGCGAACTCCTTAAGGAACTCTGAGTCTGGACAGCCTGTGCTTTCTGTTTTGCTCCAGTTTTTAGGACCTGGTCCTACTGAAGGGTCGTCTTATCACAGAGCCCTGGTCACCTGCTCCTAATTCTGAGAGTGACAGCTGGCACAATCGTTTAAACACATGCCATCGGGCAAATCTCCATCACCAATATGATGTCACTATGCTTTAGGAGAGAAAACGACTAAACCCTGGAAATGTAACGTGAAATGCTTGTAGATCGAAGGCTTCTGCACCAGCCTCCTGAAAGCTTTTCTGTCATTTTCCCAAGGACACAACTACTGCAGACATCTGACAAACCAGCAAACGCTTCCACTGCAAACTACAGATCGTGAACTAAGCCGACATCCACCCCACGGGCTTAGAGCCATTTCTCCCCTCTAATACAGACTCCGACACACACGAGGAATGTGTTAGGACATTCGGGAGACACCAATGTGGACGCCCTTAAAAAGAAACCTATCACTGGTCTCGGGGTCAGCAGGCTGCCTTTCAGTCTGCTATTGCTTCCTCAACACGAGTGTGATGGATACTGGTGCTCAGGAAAGAGAACTTCTTCTGACCTTGAGGGTGCGCATAAAATAATTTACCTCAGAACGAAAGTGGTGCGATCTCAGGACAGCATCTAGGGAGAAAAGAGAAAACGAGACCTTTAACTCCTTGTTCCTTACCCGCAGAGTTACTGACGACTTACCTGGACGGAAGATCCGACCACGGGGGGGGGGGGGGGGGGACACGGACGGACCTCGGGTTTCTAAGATGATTTCTCCGTGAGAAGTTTCGGGCAAAGTTCTGGGAAGCTGGGGCCCCAGATCTCCACGCCTTACTTTCTCCCCTCGAAGCTCTGGCAAAGGATGAGAAAAGGGAGGCTGCTGCAGCCCCGGTTTCCAGTTACTCTCAGGATGGTAGCAAAGTGACCCCGAAACAGGTTTCCCCACTCCCAGGCCTCGGCCTCGCCGGGCTCCGCAGCCTGGGGTCCGGGAGGAAGGCGGTGAGGGCCCCAGAGCCCGGCGCCCGCGCGGGCAGCCGCTCGGGGGAAGCAAGCTCCGGGCTCGGCGGGCTTACCTCGGCTCCTCGAGCGCCCCGAGAAGACCGATCTCATTGGATGCCTCCCTTTCTGGAGCCTGCGGTGCCAGCAGCAGAAGAAGATGATGGTGGCGATGGTGCCCAGCAGGAGCAGCAAGAGAAAGAGGGCGCACTGGATGCTGTAGGGTCTCAGTAGCACGAGGAAAGCGGCGGCGATCATGGTGCGGGCGAGGCGCGGGAGGCGCGGCGGCGGGCTCAGGCCCCAGCGGGGCGCAGCGGGGCTCAGGGCGTCCTGCCTGGCGCTCGCGGCCCCGCGCCCGGCCCAGCGTCTGCGTGCCCTGCGCTAGGCGAGCCGACCTGAGAAGCGGGGAGCGCTCGCCATGACTCAGCAGCCGACGACGAGGCAATGCCGGGGTGGCAGGCGCCCGGCCCCTCCCGCTCCGGCTCCCGCTCCCCCGCCCCGCGCGGGCGCCCCCGCCGCGGTCCCTGAGCAGCCCCCAAGCGCAGCCCCGCCGGGGACGGGGACGCGGCGAGTAGGGAGGAGCGGCGCCGCCCACGCGCCCGCGGACGCCCGGGCCCCGCGCATGGTCCGGCGGCCCCCGCCAGCCCGAGCATCCCCGCGGCCCGGCGCACGTGGCGGGCGGGGCGGGAGCGGTGACATCACGGCTGCGGCGCGGGCGCGCGGACATGGCTGCGCAGACGGCGGGCGCCCGCTGATCCGAGGTCTGAGCCCCCGCGGGCCCCGCGTCCCGCGCCCAGGCGCGTGCATGCACCTGTCCGGAGCCCTCGGCCGAAGTGCGAGGCGCCCGACGTCAGGGGGCGCCCAGGAGCCGGGGCGCGCAAGACCCTACCCACCTGCCCGCTCCCCGCCCCCCCCGTCCGGGCTGTTGGGCTCTGGAGGATGCAGCCTGGTGAGCACTGGGGGTCTTCCCGGGAAGGGGGAGCCCTCCGCGCCGGGAGCGCCGCGAGAGCCGGCCCGGGCTGCGCACTCCAGCCCCTCCGCCCCGACCTGGCACTGTCGGCGGCCGGGAAGCGGACACCCGAGCCCCGCACCCCGCGCCGGCCTCGCTCCAGCCCGACCAGTTTAGTGCACTTGCTGGGAGGGGCGTCCCTGGAGCCCTGGGGACCTGGCGAGCTCAACTCCAAGTTGGGCTCGGCGTACCCGCGTTCCAAGAGAAATTGGTTGGCCGTATTTGGCCGCACTGGCGCGCACACTGTCGCGCGCCCGCGTTCCTGCCGCTGCAGAGCGCGTGGCGGTCGGCGGCGGGGCCGTTAGCAGTGGTGTGGGTCAGGGCCCACGCAGGGCCTGGGGGAACCCAGGGCGCCCGCTCGGCGCTGCAGCGTGCGTTCTGCGGCTTCTGCTCGGCCCGCGGGCAGGGCAGCGCCAGCTCCAGTTTGGGGAGACCGTGGCTGGGCTTCCTTTACTTGTTTGAAACAACTGCAATTGGAGGAGCGACACACTACTGCATTTGTGAAGTTTCTAATAATTAGATTGGATTCGTTTCTAGTGTATTTAAGAGGCTAAAAAATATAATTTGTGAAATTCTGAAAAGCAATGAAAGAATTAATCCTATTACTGGGCTTATATGTCTGTACGAGTCTCAAAATCAGTATTGTTTTCTAACTACCCAAAGTCTACTACACGGGTCTGAATAAAAACTTAACCGATGATGTTTGCTCTGAAAGCCAGGTGTAAGCAAGGTGCCATAAAGCAGGCTAGTCACACAGGGAGGATGGTGGGTAGGGTTTCTTAATGCAGCGGGTTTGCTCAAACTTGACGTGGTTGGAGCTGTGTGTTACCTCTCCTGATTCGGGCACAGGATGGAAGGTGGACGGGACCTGCCTGCGGGCTGTGTGGAGAGAGGGGCCCTTCATCCTCGTCCTCCTCTGCACGCAGGGATGGGCTGCGCCAACCCGGAGGGCAGGCGGCACTGCAACCCATGCACACAGCTCAAGGCTTCCCGCTGTCGCAGCCCTCTGCAGGCAGGAGCTGGGCTCCTGTCCATTATGCGGGGGCCTGGGAAAAACCACACCTTTCAACGTGCGCATGGTGCAGTCATTTAAACAGCAATGCTGAATCGACTAACAAACATCAGACAGAAATAACTAGTGGAATTTAAGACCCTCAACTTCTTTTGCTTCTTGATTAAATTGACTAACATTTGTAAGTGAACTGAGACAGCTTAGTCAACATTAAACACAAACAGGTTTAAGACCTCAGACACAGCAAAGTAACTAGTTTGCTCCAAATTCTGCATTTTTCACAACAAAAAGCAACTGAATAGCAATCATAGTTCTCTGAGGTATCAGTTTGGCTCAGTTATCATCCTGAGTCTTGGCACAGCCTTTTATAAGTTTCAAGTACACACAGAGCTTCATTTATTTCTGTTGGCAGCAAATGCTTAGATACTTCTATCATGTGCACCCATTTTGTTTTTTTGTGTTAGTTACCCTAAGAATAGTGATAATGAGCAAACCGAGTCTTTGACAGAATTGGAATTTGGTTCTTGTTTTCTGATGTACTTTTTTTTTTTTTTGTATTCTGATGTGCTTTTAATTTTTTAATTTTTCCCAAATAATGATGTGTCATTAACTGCTTTTTTCCCCCTGTGTGTTTATGTGGTGCCTGATGCATTGTGAAATCAATAAATATTAAGTCAGTCCCCTGATATTTTTGGGAAGTTAATTTAGGAGAATTATAACTTTTTTTCCAGAAAGTATTTGTACATTTTTCATTCTTCATATAAAAGTCAACAAAAAAATTTTGACGTTTAGGGATAGGAATCAGAAAGAATGGTCTATACTCATAATGCCTCACACCAAGAAATAAAAAATCATGGAAGAGTATATAATCTGTTGTCTTGTTATTACCATAAGTTAGTGTTGTCACCCAGGAGAAGACCGGAGCAGAAGAGCCAGGAGAGTTTGCTATCAGATGTGTAGAAGGTGGCCCCTTCCCACAACCTTTCTTGTTTTGGGGTTCTTAAACCAAGCTGGGAATAAACACAAGAGTCCAAGGTGTTAAAATACGAACTTTATTCAGGGTCAGGTCAGATTAAAGAACACAGCTTGTCTCAAGGCCAGGATGGTCCATCTCCCCCAAACTCACATGCCTACCCAGCCCAGAGGAACTCCAGGCTCCTCCACACCAGCAGGAGACAACTGGCCTCTACCGAGTCCAGCACAGAAACAGGAGGTTAAAGTCTTCCACGTATTTTCTTGTCGACAGCAAGTTGTAGCACAGAGTTTCTAATTTGTGGGCCAGGCAGAAAGAGGAAAACTTCCCCCCTGTGCTGTATCAGCCAGCTGAGGGGTAGGGAGGAATTAAAGATGACTCAAACTTTAAATCAGGGTGGAGAAACTGTTTCAGAAAGAAAATGACAAACTGTCACAGACTCACTGAGGTAGAACTGTCAGTATTATCAGTGTGAAAAGATGCTGAAAGAGCATGGAAATGTGGTGGGAGAGTCAGAAACAGAAACAGGTGTGGGAGTCACAGAAAACTGAAAGAAAATTGAAGTCATGGGAGTGGAGTCATGGAACACTACAGGACTGGTCCGGGTCAGAGCTTAGGAGGCAGCTTCTACCATGAACTGGGAGAAAGCAATGAGCGTGCAGAGAGGGATCACACAAGGTGCAGGGTTGGAGGCTAGGATGGCGACCGGCTGAGAGCTGGCTGCTGGGGACCTCCGGAAAAATTGGAAACTGATAGTTGGGGCCCTCCAGATGAAAACTAGGGGAAAAGGGTTGTGTAGGGAGTCAGAGAAGTACAGAAAGAAGACTCACTGGCTACAATCCTTGGGAAGATGTAGCTGAGGGGTTAAGTTGACAAGCAATTAAAGCCTCCAGGGAAGGCCAATCATGATCCTTTTGTCTGGGGTACTAGAAGAAATTTCTCAGGCACTCTAGAGACTGCCAACATTGAGAAAGGCAGAACTGGAGAGAGGAAGGAGCAGCCCTTCTCAGAATCTGTGTTCAGCAACAAGATCCTACTTGTCCTGGGTTTGCTGTCCTCAGTGGTTCTTCCTGGTGCCGGGCTGGGATGGAGCCTGACCCGTAGTGATGATGGCTTCCGCCCGGTCTTCTCCGCCAGCCCTGCCTGGTGATGTCTGGGCTGGAAGAATGACTGAGGAAAGATAAGAAATGTAGTCCAGGCTCGTGTGCTTCTTGCAAACCTTGGTGGACCTAGATACACACAAGTACATTACAGTGCAGTATTACCCTCTTGGAGACCAAAAGATTCAGTGAGAACAGTTCTAGCAGTAAAATATGAGAAGTCACACTGGTGTAGAACTAGCGGCCTGTGAGTGTGTACTGGAAGGCAAAGGAGTGCCAGTACCCGGGAAAACTCACCTCACCTCATGCAGTCTTAGGAACCTGGTGATTTCCATCCACTAGAATCAGAAAAACCATAGTGTGGATGCATTGCTATTCCTTTTTCTTTTTTTAAAATTTGAGATTGGGAAGGAAAAAAAACTGTGGTTTTTCAGTAATATTATTTTCAGAAAATATACCTGGAAGAAAGGACTTTGTATTCACTTTACCACAACAAAAATATTTGAAATAATTGAAAGAAATCCTCATAACAAAATATTTCAAATAGAGGCACTTCGGATTGTTCTTGCAACATTTTAGAAGTTTTAAAGCCCAACTGAGATTTGTTATCCTATAGATTTGCCAGGCTGCAGAATCCATGATATTGCTGTGAAAAAATTTTTTTGTCTATGAGCAATACAGAGTTTTCAAGAAATTTGCTGAATTTAGGAGCTTAGTGATATCAATATAATTGATTTTATCTACTCTATAATGGTTTGCTGACAGGTTTTGAGAATTATTTATTATTCGCAACCAAATAGAATTCACCTGTATAGTTTTTACTGCTTAGTTGTATGGCAAAATACTGAGTCATCTGGCCAGAAAATTTACTCATAGTTGTATGAACTCCCAGTGAGAATTTGAGAGCTGTTCATAAATCAAATTATAAAGCTCCCAGAGTTATAAATCACTGAGAAGTACCGTGTGTTAGTATTCAGAAAATGTAAAATATTCCCACCATTCCTAAAAATGTGTAATTTACAAAGCAAGTTTGAAAGATGAAAGTATTGTCTTCTAGATGCAAAATGAAAGTTACCATGTAAGTTATAAGCATTTCTACGTTCTTAAATGAAAAAAAGGTAAAAAAATTTTATAGTTGCATAATAAAGTATGTTATAAGATGAATAAGACCTTTAATATTTACAAATTAAATGCCAGTGTATCTCGATAAAACTAAGGCAACATCAAATAGCTATATTTCTTTTATTTCTTACAATAATTCTTTGTGATTTAGGACTTTCACATTAAATATTTTATTCTCACAGATGTATATACTAATGCATTCATGTCTTCATAACCTAGAAGAATCATAGCACTAAGAAAGCAAAAGTACCAGAAGTACTGAGAACAGAAAATTGAGATGAGTAACTGATGACTAGTTAAACAAAATGTTTCAAACCAGGCGTGGTGGCACGCTCCTATAATCCCAGCCCTCAGAAGGCTGAGGTAAGAGGGCCTAGAGTTCAAGGCTAGCCTGTGAACTATAGAGGAGACCCTGTCTCAAAAAAAAAATAGTTTCAATAACTCATAGTTCTAGAGGATATAGAAATTATCCCAGTGTCATAACACCCGTTGACTCTAGGAACAGAAAAAAAGTATATTTTAAAATGTCTTCGTAGCCCTAAATACTTCACGGAGTATAAATGGAGAAACCAGTAGTAAACAGGGTAAACCAGAATATAGTGGCGTTTATAGTTCAGAGAAAAAAGCCAAAAACCTCTGTTCCTGGTGCTCAGTCTCTGCCAGAGAAGTCCTTAACCTGGAATTAACCCATAGATGAATTTCTAGGGACTTGAAATTAAGTAAGAATCTGTGT